CAGGCACCCAATTGTATAAAATGAAACAAAAATGGAAAATTCGATACCTTTATGATACTCAAAATCTGTGTTGAAGAGCAGAATGATAAATTTGTAATATAGTCATGAATTTTTGTTGCTGAAAGCTAATTATTAACACCATTTGAAATTTCAGTTGGAATGCCTATGTATTGTCTTATGTCATCACACTCAGTACAATGGTGTAGCTTGATTCTTATTTTCAGGGAGGCAAACAATTTTTATTGATGGACAAAATCAAGAGGCAAATCCCCACTTACCCTACTGAACCACGTGAAGAAAATGGACATTTCTGGATAGTTTTCATTATGAAAAACAACCTTAAGATATTCTTCAACACGGAGCAAAAATTCTCTCACCTCACTGCAAGTTTAAGACGGCCCCTAGCACCTGTTTGAGCGGAGTGATGTTTTGTTGTGCTTTTGTGTTTAATTTTAGCTTCTTGATATACACCCGCATTTACTTCTATTAATGTATAAACAGTTTTCATTATCTCTGATAAACTTTAAATATATCTTTATTTTGATAAATGATATGACTTCCTAGAGAAAGCCGAAATTGCTGTTCTTCAACTTGACAGACGTCTGAATGTATTCGGCCAAAAGTTTAGATTTTTATACAACAGAATGATAAAGACGGGTCCATAGCGTCGGATTACATGATAATCATTGATGTTCAAAGATAACTTTGACATACCAAGGATTCACTATACAAATCCTTGGACATACATAGTATGTCATTGAAAATACATTTTTGCGAGTAATGAGTAAACAGTACTTTATACACAGTATACACATTATAGGCATTAGACGTTTTTTTATTAACCAAGTATGGGCCCTTGTCAGGCAAGGTACTTACACATTACATTAAACATTACCAGTAAATATATTTTATTTCCAATTCGGAGCCCTTGTTTGGCATACATATACATAAATGTAATAAGATAGAATGATCACAATAGTACAAGTGATTTTAAATGATAGAGCAGACCGTTACCACGAGAAAACATTGTTAACCGAGGCGAAGCAAAGGTTGACAAAGTTTTTCTATGGGTAAAAATCTGCTATATCACCTTCTCAGGTATGTATAAAAGTAAAAACAAAAGATGTGGTATGATTGCCAATGAGAAAAAAATTCCACCAGCGACCAAATGACATAGAAGTAAGCAACTATATGCCACCGTACGGCCGTCAACGATGCGCAAGACCCATACCACATAGCAAACTTTAAAATGCCCCGACATGACAATGCGTTTACTGTTAACTTTTTGAAACATTGACAACTATCCAACAGAGTCTAGCCGTTCAAGCAACTCTAATTAAGTCACCATATGGCCGTTAACAATAAGCAAAAGCATACCTTATAGTCCTTATATATAGTCCGCTATAAAAGGCTCCGACATGAAAGAATATGAAACAATTCAAACGAAAACATCACTGACCTGAATTATGACAGGCAGCAACCAACGACAGAATCTGCATGAATTACAGGCTCCTGACTTGGGACAGGCACACATAGAGTATGGAGGGTTTAAACATGTTGTGTGTAATCCTTAGTGGACAGTGGTGCAACAGCACATGAACAAACTAAAAATTAGTAAAAAATTGTTTGACTCAGGCCGACACGAAACAAAAAAGAAGCCAACTAACATAAAGACAAAAGACAACGTGAAAGTGCCGATCTACGAGTACTCGCAGTTATACTGAATAATTTATACTTCATTAAAATCAATGTCGTTTACGGTAAATGGCACAAATATCCCTCTTCTGGACACATATGATAGATAAAGAATATAAACCGCGATCATTGTTTGATACAGCATCGTCTAATATTGGTATGGTTTCCATCTGCATGCTGTACCGATATTCTTGATTTGTAGATCGTAATAATCATATCCCATTTCCGCTCAAAGCTTTAAGAGAGGAACAAAGAGTATATTCCTTCTCCACACAAACATAATCGATTGTGTAGAAAGGCTAAATATAAGTCCCATGGAGGATTCAGTAAAATGAAAAGGAATCTATATACGTGTTTCCACACAGATAAACACTGTTAAAAGAAGGAATCGTCCCCTGCATCCGGCTATAGAAGTACCGTTCCTAAGTTTTACGGTTGTCAGTGTCTAGGTTGAAAGAAATAGTCTCTTCTATGTTTTTAAAATGCTGTTCATTTGAAATTAGTTTGAAATCTGAGATTACTATCATCAATAGAAGTCTCGGGGAAAACATTTTTATTTTAACTTTCCATGTTTTTTGAAACGGTTCTTTTAAACCATTATGCCGCAAAAATTTTTGTTTTCTAGTGATATTAGTATTTCCCAATATTATTGCGGATTTTATTCTCCGAATCTAAAAGTTTGTTTAATATTCTCTTTCATATTCTTTTTGTGTTGGTTTGTTAAGTTTATATTCTAAAAGATATAACGGTAAACCAAAATATGCATATTTAATTGAATTTTGTCTTAATTCCTGCATCATTGTTGACTTTTTATCCTTCATCTGAGATTACTATCATTCACGGTCCTACTTTACCTGCTCCCTCAAAACTTCTGTAACTTCTATGTATATCTATTATAAAATGTTATAGTTGGGACCTGATATGTCATTATGATATATTTCTTTTTCAGTTTAAGTATACAATATACCATCAAGCAGGCTGATGATTAAATACCGTTGATTTATAAAGATGTTTTGGATTAAATATGTTTTCGAGTTATCCTTCGGCATTTAAAAGATTATTTAGCAATTTCTATTTATTTTTATAGTATTACTGAAAATCATTGGTTCTATCATACCCGAGTAAGTGAGTTTTGCCGGAACACAGGCAATATTTTCTCCATACTTTTCAGAGTCAATCAAGTGCCTGTGGATTTGAGACTGATAAAGTAGCGAGTCTGGAGTGTCCTGCATTTCTTAATTCTTTTGTTTTTTTATACCTTTTCTCTATTCTTTTTTGTTTTTGTTGCCATTATTCTCTACTCTTTATATGTTAAAACCTCGAGCATTATTCTCTATTTTTTTGTCTATTTTTCTCTTCTGTATTCTGAATAATTCTTTATTCTGCCATTCACCTTTTGCTCATTGTTCTCTACTCAGCTGTAAACTGGTAAACCACATAAAAACATAGCTCTAACGTATTAAAACGTTAGACAAGCCAAACCAGGGGCGGATCCAGGATTTTGGAAAGGGGGAGCGTAGTATTAAAGTTCGCCGAACGGAGCGAGGCGAAAACATTTTTGGACCTCCTTTTTTTGGCTAAAAAACATAAAATAAGTGGAAACTGATTTTATAGTTAAAATGTAGGGGTTGGACATTTTTGGTGCCGTATTCTCTCCATTAATTGTCTATTATAAAATGATTGGATGGATCCAAAGCTATGTACTAATTAATATATTTGATGTGGGATTTGTCAGTAAAAAATGGACATGGAAAATTCTCGTTTGTTGTATGGTTAGTTAGCATAACCTCATAGATTTCTTGTTGCTATTCAATGAAATTTCATATACGACCGACACGAAGAAAGAAAAACAGGCAATTTTTATCCAAATGTTTGGTTGAAATGTTTCAACCAACAAGGGAAGTGAGGGGTTCCAATCAACCAAAGGTTACGAATGAGTCGGAAATGACAATGAAGTTGTGAATGACGGTCGACACATGGAGACATATAGGCCACACCCAGCAGGCAGGTTGCAGTCGGGCCTTGAAAAAAGTATTCAGTATATCAGTTCGGCGAAACAGACATTCCGGTCAGATATGGGATTCACATGCAACCCCCCCCCCCCCCCCCCCCAAAAAAAAATTACACCCGTTTTTTATTCATCATGTTTATTTAATGCTTAATAATTTTGTTAAAAATATTTTTTTCTAATAGCAAAAAAGTGGACAAGATTATTGTTTTCAATCCAGATACGGCCAGAATTTTTGTTTAAGGCAAAAATCAGGGTCAGAATTTTTTCTCTAAAATATCTCAGACTGCCCCCTCAAATCAAATGGTCCGTACCTTAGACTTTAAATCTATATCTAGAGCTTACTGACTGGGGATCACTATTCAGCAATGTTATTAATGGGCTGGGGCGTGTGGGGTTAAACATGTTTTCGTAGGTAAATAATATTGCTGTGGAACTTTTTTTTTCATGAGAGTGTAATAGAGTATTACTTTCTGTTGGGTGGAATTGTGAAATAGAAGTCAATACGTTCTTGCTCAATACTTTGTAGCTTTGAAGGCGTCATGCTTGTCATCCTCAGCCTAAGCAATGTGTTACTGTAGTTTAAATTTCAAAATGACTGAGTGACGTTTTTTTCGACGTACTGGTCAACTCCACCGTAGCGAATCACATGACTTTGACATAATCAATAACATATTACAGTAAATACGAGCGAAAAATATCTTTATAAGTAAAGAATTGTCGCAAAAATATTAAATACACGGGAAATGGCAAAGTTCGCGAAGTCTAGTCAGAGGCGGATTTAGGAGGGGGGGGGGGGGGGGGGGGGGGGGCAGGGGGCCCGGCCCCCTTTTTTGGGAAAAATTTGGTTGATTATTTAGGGAATCACTGATGCATTACTAAAGCGTGCCCCCTCTTAGGCAGTCAGTGGGCCCCAATTAATCATTTTACAAAAAAAAAAAAAAAAAAAGTGCAAGCAAAAGGGGGGGGGCGTACGCCCTCTACGCCCCCCTCTGGATCCGCCACTGCAAACTTGGTGGCATAAGGACATCATTTATTATCTTTGCCAGATGAAGCTGAGACTACTGTTATAGTAGAATCTGGCTGAAGTCAAAGAAGTCAGGAATACCACATTTTATGAAACTTTCAAATGCAAATATAATAGCTGGGACATAATATATTAATTATTAGTATTAGTTAATTAGTTAATAGTCCCAATCGGCAATCCTCGGGTGAATCCGCTACGGTGAAAGAACGGAATTGACAGAGATATGACGAAAGGTAATAGCCCAGATAATAGTTACGTCCCTTGTTTTAGCTCTCTTGTATTGAATACCAAAATCCAATATTGATAAATAACATTTTGACAGCTTAAGTCTTCAGTGAAGATATCAACCATGTCTTTCAATATTTTACTGCAAGTACACGACTGATAAGACGGTTACGTAAGTTCTCATGTAACCACATTACTGGCAAGTGTATCAAATCGTTCAAATTTGAGAGATTGAGCTGTTTTAAGGTTCTGTTCACTTAGTAAGTTAGTTGTGAAAATCCATGGATAGTACCAGCAGGATTCGAACCCTCAATCTCGGGATCTAGACTAAAGGCAGCGCTCTAACTAATTGAGCCAAAGAAGATCTTCCCTAACACAACTAGTTAGACTACCTTTATATCTCCAGGTCTACAACACTCTTCCCCCTTTTCTTTTTTCGGCATGTACCATCCATCCGAGCATACTCGGAAACCCTCTGGCCAGTTACCTGATTTTACTTTTTCCAGTGAATACTTCATCTGTTGATATATACTGTGAATGTTTTGTGTATATTTATATATATTTAGCCATGTTGAAAGACATGTATAAGTCAAATAATAAAACTTAGCTAATGGTTAAGTCTCTAAGATGTAAGATTTCTGCTGCTATTTTTTGCTAAATGGGTACAATTTTGGTACTGTGACGTTAGATATTTAAATTCTAGAAGCTGTTATGGCTCATGTCTTTCCACCCAGATAAGTGAACATCATGAACATAACAACCAAGAGAACACCCATCCACTTTTACTACAACATGTACATGATATTTGGAAACATTTTAGAATCAGTAAAACATGCAAAATACTTAGGTATCACAATTCCTGCAGACCTACATGTAAATAGTAAAATTGAACACCCATGTTCAACAAACTGCTGCAAAAGCAATTAAATCCTTATGTTTCATCAGAACTAAGACTATTATACTAACATGATTAGAATCTTGTAGGTTTTTCCATATGAAAATACTAGAATAAATAGAAATTCTGACAGGGTAAAAAATGTTCAGATTGTCAAGATCTATAATAATTTCCCATTTCCACCAAAATATCAGATTTTAGAACCCTTAAGGGTTATTGCCTATGATCATGATGATGTTGAAGATGGTTTTAGATATATATATTTGTAGAAACTGTATTTGTAAACAGCAAAAATTATCAGCAATACAGAAGATCTTCAAAAATGACATCACCAAAACCATCAGAAGGGTCTAACATGTCTAAAATGCTGATGTGTAAAATTGATATATTTTACGTCATTTCTAAGGAATTGTTCAACATGAATTGATAAGGGACTGGCTACGATTACGTTGAAATAATTACCTTAATGTTACAATAATAAATAAGCTAGTGTTACATGGACACTAATTGCCGGAATGTTAGGTTGGGTTAGGATTCGATTAATCAAATACAAACATAACAATAATATTTGTGTCTACGGTTACGTTGTGTTATTGTTACGTTAATGCACTTCAATGTATGCTGGGACTAGTAATTTGTAGTTTTGTACAGTATAAAAATACAACTTGAAAACTTTTATTCGTAAACACTGCAATGCTACAATATTGCATACAAATTTTTTATTTTATTTACACTGATGGCAGCTTCTGCACATCCAGTATGTGCTTTTGGGAGCATGTTTTAGTCCGACACAGTTTTGATAAAACCACTCTAGGCAGCCCTCACAATAGAGTGATGCAGCAATGCATGTGCACGTTGGTTTTGCAGACTGAACAGTTCCACTACAGTTTAGTAGTGCCAAAGCTGAATAAATTTGTTTTTTGCTCTTCGGTCAGGTTGTTGTCTCTTTGACACATTCCCCATTTCGATTTTCTATTTTATTCAATGGTTTGATGTTTAGAAGAAAAGTGTTCACTTCTTTGTATTTAACTGCACACCTACCCTTATTACTGTCATTATACTTTGAACAATGGACATGATGGATGAAGTGATTCCTAAATTACCAAATTTTTTTGGGGTAAAAAATTTAAAACTTTAGATGTGTTTGAATCAAAACTAAAACAATATCAAGAATCAAATTTTATACACACTATACAATACACTATGTAAAAGAATGTTTTTACATTTAAATGGAATATTAAATGTGCGTACATTGAAGTGCATTAACGTAACAATAACATGTAACATAATCGTAGACACAAATATAATTGTTATGTTCGTAATTAATCGGTTCCTTACCCAACCTAGCATTCAGGCAATTAGTGTCCAATGTAACAAAAACTTTTTTATTATGTTACATTTCTACATAATCCTAGCCAGTGCCAATATTAAAAATTGGAATTTATTTCGTAGGTTATAAAAATAATAAGGAATCTACAACTTAGAAAATTAAAATTCAATCAGGATCAGTAAAACAAAGCATACAGTATACATGTGTGTACGTACAGTATTGTTTTCTGGGGGCATAAAATAAGTTTTCCCAAATGACAAAAATATACTACACAAGGTGAAGCCAGTTCAAGGATTGCAGAAATAATATCATTGCTTTATTACACTGTTTTTTTTTCTAGATTGCTTTCCAAGGAAAAACCCTGAGTTCAATGGAAGGATCAGGACTACCAATATTCAAGGGATGTCCTCAAAACCAATGCAATGTTATAGGAAATGATTTGTGCTTAATTTGTAAGCAGCTTTTCTTTGCAAAAAGTACTGAGAAAATATGCACAAACTGTGAATTGACAAGCCTTAGATCCATTGTCGGTCAAACACATATGCAACAGGATTTATATGAGAGTGTAGAAGAAAGGCTGAAAATGAAGAAACATCACAGATATGGATGTGATTTGTGTGGAAAAATGTTCCAAAATACATCCTTCCTGAAAATCCACCAGAGAACACATACTGGAGAAAAACCATATAATTGTGAAATTTGTAACACAGCTTTCTCACAGTCATCATCCCTGAATACCCACAAACAACTTAAACATTCCAACCAAAAGCCATATAATTGTAATATATGTGGGAAAACATTTGCAATAAAAAATTATCTTACTGTGCATTTACGCACCCATAGCAGAGAAAAGCCATATAAATGTAACTCATGTTTAAAAACGTTTACACAAAAATCTTCACTAACAACTCACGTAAAAATGCATCAGTAAAATGTAGTTAGAAATAATGACATATATTATAGATATACATTTATATGAACAATATATAGCAGAAAAATTAAACAATGATAGTTCAGCAGATAAATGTACAGAAAATTGATGGGACAAAAAAATCACAGTTATTTCGTTCATCGTTTAAATATATAAATTAAAAGAAAAAATTCTTGAAATCTTTTGATTTTATTTTAAGCAAATTGTCCATTAACATTCTAAAATGAAGATGTATCAATTTTTTATCATACAATAAATATATTTCCTGAGACGCACCATTGAGCAATTGAATTAACAGGCCATTTTGACAGCTTATTATTTTAAGAATATTTTGATCATATTGAAAGTTTTGACAATTGTTTTTTTTTATGCCCCCTCTGCTAGGCGAAAGGGGTATTTACATGTAGTGTTACCCTTGACCTTCTGTCCCTCTTTCCGTCCTTCTGTTCGTCCCATTTTTGGTTTCCACACTCTAACTTATAGTTTTACTAATTCAAATCTTATGAAACTCATGCACATGGATAAGAACCACAACACGCAGACATAGTTTAAATTTGCTCCTTTATAACTTGGAAAATTGCAAAATTTTTCGTTTCCGCACTCTAACTTAAGTTTTCCTAATGATTTGATTTTTGATTTTTGGTGTTTTAATGCCACTTTTAAGCACCGCTTTTGGGCTATTTCGTGGCGGCCAGTTTTTATTGGTGGAGGAAGCCGGAGTGCCCGGAGAAAACCACCGACCTTCGATAGGAAAACTGACAATCTTAGTCAATTAAGATTGGATTTGAGTGCACCCGCACGAGCGGGGTTCGAACTCACAACCTCAGTGTTGACTGGCTAGTGATTACAGTAGTAACTACTTAGACCACTCAGCCACCGAGGCTCCCGGTTTTCCTAATGAAGATTTTATGAAACGCATACACAATGCTAAGAACCACAACACACAGAGTTTAAATTTGGGCAGTGAGTCATTTACTGATATACATGCAGGTATGTCCCTATTTAACTTTGAAAATTGCAAAGCATGAGCAGAGGCATTCGTATCCTCAGACACATTCTTCTTTTTATGCCCACCCCGCTAGGCAAAAGGGGCCTTAAGTGTAACCCATGACCTTCCATCCATCTTTCTGTCTGTTCCATTTTTGGATTCCGCACTCTAACTTTATAAGTTTTACTCATCCAAAACTTTTACACAATGCTAAGAACCACAACACTTAGACAGAGTTTAAATTTGGGCAGTGAGTCATTTACCGTTATAGAGGTATGCCCTTTTTTAACTTGGAAAACTTCAAAGCATGAGCTGCAGGGGCATTCCTGTCTTCAGACACATTCTTCCTTTTCATTTTTTTAAACAAAGTTGTTTAATGTAATAGTTAAAGAAAAATACAAAACAAAAAATAAACTTTAAAAAAGAAAACTTTTTTATCAAAACTTAATTGTGGCTTTCTGTAGTACTTTCTTTTAGCATTATATGTTACTGATTATTCCCACTTTTCATTAAAAGTTGAGTTGGTGGTCAGTTTTATAATTATTCTTTGGTTGGTCATGTTGGTTATAACTGTAATGCCTATTGATAAATAATAGTTTTCATCAACTTTTTTGTCAAATGATAGAAATTGTATAAACATTGATAAAGAGGTTGTCTTAAAATAATATAACTTGCCTGAACTTCATTAAAAATTAATACAAGTTGTAAAGAAGTGATGTAAAAACATAGATAAGAAATAACTCTTACCAACTGAATGAAAAGTGGGAATGAATTCAATCCATGAGTGCTGTATTATGCAACCTGCATGCATTCTGAAATTAATGTACATGTCTGAACACTAAAGCTTACAATGTATAGTTGTGTTATAACTTTTAGCAAGTATTGAAGTAAACATTTTTGATATTTGGTATAATTGACTTGTTAATGCATTGTTGATAGGAAATATTTTATTATGCCACTCCCTAATTATTTATATAAGTGGCTTTCATGTTTGGCACACTGATTAATCTTTTTCATAATTCAAGAACAGTTAATTTTGTGTCAGGTCAGATTATAATGACTTAACATTCGTTTAGCATGCCACAGTGACATGCTTTTGTGTAGATATATTGATACTGCAGCAACAGCATTAAATATTATATAGATATTTATTATTTTAGAAGGTAGAATAATTAGCTATGTAAAGACAATCTGTATTTTGAATGTAGATAGCCTGTATTATTTTCTTTAATTTTTGGCATGCATGTGTCAGTTGTCTTTAGCCTCATTTTCATGGTTCATGTTAGTTTAACCTATCATTAGGTTTTTGTGCTTAGGTCAGTTCAGCAGTTACTATAAGTACTGTATATATATGGGTCAACTTTATTTGGTCTTTAGAATCACTGAAAGACTTTGTATAGCTCCAATCTGCGACCTTAGGGAGTTAGGCTTGCAACCTTCTGACCTGACATCTCATTTTAAAGGACCTGTGACCTTTAACTCAGGTTAAATGTCAAATAAATGCTACAAAAACTTGTCACATTGACTTAAAAGTGACTGAGGTCATTTCTTAACATGACCTTGTGACCTAAGAGGTGTACCCTACTGGATCCCCTTACATATCTGTCCTCTTTACCTCATGTTCATGGTTTAATGATTTTACATTAGGTTTTCATGCTTAGGTCAGTTTCTTGGTAGTTTTTAGTCAAACATCAACAATATTTGGTCTAGAATCATTGTAGATGAACATGGGTGTCTCTTTTTCATGGGGCAATAATGTTTCATGTGTAGGGCAGTATCTCACTAAGGGAGCTACCATTTGATTTTTATGGGGGGGCTAGGATGAAAAAATTTTGTCCTGCCTTTTTATTTTTCCATCTATTCAGTCCTGCCTTTTTATTTTTCACTCTATTTGGTCTTGCTTTTTTTTTTTTAGTTTATCCTGCCTTTTTTTTTTTACATAAATTGTCATCCTGCCTTTTTTTTTTTGGCAAATAACGAATAATGTCATCCTGCCTTTTTTTTACTCAAAACTCCTGTCCTGTCTATTTTTATACGCCCGTTTACGGGACGTATTATGGTATACCGTTGTCCGTCTGTCTGTCCGTCCGTCTGTCCGTCGTCAACATGTCGGACATTAACTCAAAAATGCTTTAACCAAATTGCATAAAACTTTGGTGAATTGTTTATATCTATTGACGTGAGCTCCCTTTTGTTTTTTATAAAATTTATATTTTACGTTTCCGAGTTATGGGGTTTTATTCATTAAAAAAAGGGGGATTTTCCAGTTTTCGGACAATAAGTCAAGAATGCTTTCACCAACTTGCAAGAAATTGTGGTGAATTGTTTATATCTATTGACATGAGCTCCCTTTTGATTTTTATAAATTTTAAATTTTACATTTCTGAGTTACAGGGTTTTATTCATAAAAAAGGGGGGATTTTCCAGTTTTCAGACAAAAACTCAAAAATTCTTTCAGCAATTTGTATGAAACTTTGGTGAATTGTTTGTATGTATTGATGTAAGCTCCCTTTAGAATTTTATAAATTTTACATATTACATTTCTGAGTTATGGGGTTTTATTCATTAAAAAAGGGGTGATTTTCCAGTTTTCTGACAATAAATCAAAAATGCTGTCACCAATTCTCATGAAACTGGTGAATTGTTTATATCTTTTGATGTAAGCTCCCTTTTTATTTCCATAAATTTCTAAGATGACATTGAGAATTAATTGAACTTTATTTGTTTATAGTCTGACAACAGATTTACTAAGTATTGGGGACTATTGCACAACAGCAAGAAATCTTTAATTGAATATAAATTCAATTCTTATAACCAATTTCAAGTTCTTTGACTACATTTATTCAGAAACCTATAATATGTCAAATATTTAATTACAATCCAAATTCAGACCTGAATCAAGCTTGAATATTGTGTCCATTTTTGCCCCAACTGTTCAGGGTTGGACCTCTGCGGGCGTATCTAGCTGCGCTCAGCGAAGCAGTTTATTTTCAAATTTCATCCTTGCCCCCCGCCCCTTTAAAAATCAAATGGTAGCTCCCTAACCATGAGCTATAGGACAATTATATTTTGGTCTGCAAAGCCTTGTAAGGACAATATATGTTTGGCAGGGGTCACTTTATAACATTGGATTCATTTTCATGTCTTATTTATCAAAGTTACATGTAGTTAAAAGAAAGCAAATGGAACATACCGGTTTATCATTTTGACCAATCTCTTTGAAAACCATAGAATAATTAAAACCAAATACCTAAGGTCTTCAGAAAAATTCCTTGTGATTGGTACTGAGTGTGGTTGCTTTTATGCCCATTTAACGTGAAGGCAGAATAATCACCAACAAAGACTGCATTTATATTAAAAACTGTATGAAGTAGTCAGGGTAAACCTGTTTTCACTGATCAATCCATCAGTCAATTTTTAGGATAACTGTAAAACTTTATCATAGATTTGAATCAAACTTGATACATGGTAATGAGAAAAATATTCATATTTGTTTTGAGGTCAGTTCGCATGAACTAAAATAGACTGAAATTTATGCAGTAAAGATTTTTATTCGGTTCTAACTCAAGAACCTAACTTGAGATTAGGGAGCTACCGAAGGGGGGGGGGGGGGGGGGGGGGGAGGCTAGGATGAAAAATTTTTAGTTGTAATCTCTGTCCTGCCTTTTTATTTTTCACTCTATTCGGTCCTGCTTTTTTTTTATTAGTTGATTCTGACTTTTTTTTACATAAATTGTCATCCTGCCTTTTTTTTTTTGCCAAGTTGCTTATCCTGCCTTTTGATCTTACTCAACCCCCCCACCTAAAAATCAAATGGTAGCCATGTATAAATCCAACTTACCTTTTTCAACTGATTTTTATACGACCGCAAAAAAATTTTTGTGGTCGTATATTGGTATGACGTTGGTGTCGTCGTTGTCCGAAGACACATTGGTTTTCGCACTCTAACTTTAGTTTAAGTGAATGGATCTCTATGAAATTTTACCACAAGGTTCAATACCACAAAAGGAAGGTTGGGAATGATTGTGGGGGTTATGGTACCAACAGTAAAGGAATTAGGGGCCAAAAATAAGCATTTTTGTAACTTCCAGACATAACTTGTGTGTTAGTGTATGGATCTCTCTGACATTGTACCACAAGGTTCCATATCACAAAAGGAATGCTGGGATTGATTTTGGGGGTAATTGCCTCAAAATTTTAGGAATTAGGGGGCAAAAAACAAGCATTTTTCTAGTTTCATGACAATAACTTGTGTGTAAGTGTATGGATCTTTCTGAAATTGTACTACAAGGTTCCATATCACAAAGGGAAAGCTGGAATTGAGTTTGGGGGTAATTGCCGAAACGTTTAGGAATTGGGGGCCAAAAAGTGGCCAAAAAACACATTTTTCTAGTTTCCAGACAATAACTTGTGTTCAAGTGTATGGATCTCTCTGAAATTGTACTGCAAGGTACCATACCACAAAGGGGAGGCTGGGATTGATGATGGGGGTAATTGCCTCAATATTTTAGGAATTAGGGGCAAAAAACAAGCATTTTTCTAGTTTCATGACAATAACTTGTGTGTAAGTGTATGGATCTTTCTGAAATTGTACTACAAGGTTCCATATCACAAAGGGAAAGCTGGGTTTGAGTTTGGGGGTAATTGCCCTAAACGTTTAGGAATTTGGGGCCAAAAAGTGGCCAAAAAACACATTTTTCTAGTTTCCAGACAATAACTTGTGTTCAAGTGTATGGATCTCTCTGAAATTGTACTGCAAGGTACCATACCACAAAGGGAAGGCTGGGATTGAGTTTGGGGGTGATGAATCATAAGGGGGTTCAAAAAATTTGGGGGGGGATTTTTTTTTTTTTTCCTTTTTTTTCTTTTTTCCTTTTTTTTTTCTTTTAAAATTTTCCATTTTAAGTTGGTTATTTCTGATTTATATTTAAAAGCAAATAATAATGATATGGTAGGAGATACACACCAAACAGGATGTGTAATTTTTTATATAATAAGTATTGTGCAATAGCAAGAAATTTTCAATTGCACAATAGCAAGAAATCCTCAATTGCACAGTATTGCGCAATAGCAAGAAATCTTCAATTGCACAGTATTGCGCAATAGCAAGAAATATCCAATAGCACAATATTGTGCAATAGCAAGAAATTGTCAATTGTACAGTATTGCGCAATAGCAAGAAATATTCAATTGCACAGTATTGTGCAAAAGAAGATACTTCGTATAAATTGCTTATTTCTTGACCAATTTCAATGGGGTTTTATTCTTGAATTCTTGGGGTTCTTTAATATTCTGAATCTAACCGTGTATTAAGTTTTTGGATTTTGGGCCCCGTTTTTAAATTGGTCCACATTGAGGTCCAAAGGGTCCAAAATTAAAGTTTGTTTGATTTCATCAAAAATTGAATTATTGGGGTTCTTTGATATGCCGAATCTAACCTTGTATTTAGATTCTTAATTTTTTGGTTCCGTTTTCAAATTGGTCTACATTAAGGTCCAAAGGGTCCAAAATTAAACTTAGTTTGATTTTAACAAAATTGAATTCTTAGGGTTCTTTGATATGCTGAATCTAAACATGTATTTAGATTTTTGATTTTGGGCCCAGTTTTCAAGTTGGTCCAAATCGGGGTCCAAAATTAAACTTTGTTTTATTTCAACAAAAATTGAATATATGGGGTTCTTTGATATGCTGAATCTAACCATGTATTTAGATTTTTGATTTTTGGGCCCCGTTATCAACTTTGTCCACATTGAGGTCAAAAGGGTCCAAAATTAAACTTTGTTTGATTTCATCAAAAATTGAATTCTTGGGGTTCTTTGATATGCTGATTCTAACCATGTATTTAGATTTTGGATATTGGACCATAATAGGTGAATGTCCAATTTAAAAATTTTAAGTTCTTAGACCACATTCATTCTGTGTCAGAAACCTATGCTGTGTCAAATATTTAATCACAATCCAAATGCAAAGCTGTATCAAGCTTGAATGTTGTGTCCATACTTGCCCCAACTGTTCAGGGTTCGACCTCTGCGGTCGTATCAAGCTGCGCCCTGCGGAGCATTTTATTTATAGTTTGTTCTTATGATGTACTGATACACCACTGCCCAGGTTAGGGGGAGGGTTGAGGGCTCACAAACATGTTTAACCCCGCCACATTCTGTATGTGCCTGTCCCAAGTCAGGAGCCTGTAGTTCAGTGGTTGTTGTTGGTTCATGTCT